TTTTAGTTCACTAATGATCCCTTGAGCTGTGTCTAAGCTACTGTTACGCCTGCCCACTGAATTTAAATTTCAGTTACTATATTTTCATTTTTTAAGTTCCATTTGGTTATTTAAAAAATCTATGTCACTTTTTACGATTTTTCAATCCCCAAAGTCAAGTTTGCTCATTTATTGTATAGTCCATGTCTGGTAATTATAGGATTTTAAGTGGGTCTTTTCCTATTGTCTTTTTATTTTTATTCTTGCTCGTGATATCTTGTTTCCTGTTGCACCTGGTGCCTTTTGGAAAATTATTTATGGGAGTAATTTGAGGCTAGACACCTTTCTTTCAGGGAAATTTTGCATTTTGTTTGGCTGTTGGTTGAAAGTACTGCCAGTCTGAGCCCACAGAGTTTAAGGTCTTGAGTGTCTGGACCGCCCAAGCAGTTGACCTTAATGAAGCATTCTATTTGATTCACTTCTCTGTTATTCTCTTTTGAAAAAAGCTTGAAAGGAATTGACTATAGGAAGATAAGATCTTACTTATGATTTACTTTAACCTCAGGGTATAGTTATTTTGTATACCGGCTTTTGGTGGGAAGAGTCTTTTATTAGACTCTGCATCTAATGTGGACTCTGAATTCTGTTTCCTTTGCCCCACAGGGCCTTTGGAAAGGAAGTTCCACTCTACTGGTTTTATCCTTGTATTTTTTAGTATCTTATAAAATATTTATTGCTTTTATTACATATTAAAATATGTGCATTATTTAGTGTATATTATTGTTTGCCTTTGTAGTATTACTTTAAATAACTTGGTAATGTTTTCACTGAAGATTCAAAGTCTCCATACTGTGAAATGTGTGCCATTCTAGATATTGTTCTACATGTTGAAGATAAAACAGAGGGCAAAATTGACAAAAGTTTTTATCCAATAGCTCATATATTTCAGCAGAACACAGATAAGCAAGATAAGTGAAATATATAGATGGTAAGTGCCAGGAAAAAATAATGCAGGGAGGCCAGGGGTACATCAGAGTAATAGAGTATTGGGAAAACACTAGGGTGTTTGTGATTTTAGTATCCAGAGGAAAACTTAATTGAGAAGGCAACAGATGAATAAAGACATGAAACTGGTGAGTGAACACTATCGATGTGGATGAAAAAAGCATTCAGGGCAGAAGGAGCAAGTGCAAAGGTCCTGACATGGAATCATAGCAGGGAGGCTAGGTTGGTGGGGTGGGATTAGTGAGAACAGGGAAAATAGGTAGGAGATAAGGTTGGAGAGACCTACATGACATTTAAGATCTTAGAGTTCTGGTAGGCCTTTTTATGTAGTCATAAGAGGATTTTGAACAGTGATTGTGTTACGAGTTTGTTCAACCCAGGATGCCATATTGAGAATAAACTTTAGGGGACAAGGCAAGCAGCAGGAAGAGTTAGTTTGCTCTGACAATTATTTTTAGACTATTCTAGGTAATGGGGTTGCAGCATGAACAAGACAAAGTTTCTGCTCTTAAGAAGCTTCCAATCAACATAGAATAATTAGTGTCTATTATTTCAGTAAGTGATAGTTGCTAGGAAGAAAATAATTGAGACTTGTTTTGATATTTCATAGTTATTTTTTTAAAATTTAAGCTCAGAATATTTATTGTTTAACAAATTTTAAATTTTAGGGGTAGTGATAATGAATTAGTTTTATGAATTCTTTTAGCTGATAGTCAGAAAAACCATAACCTTATTGGAGGTGGGTAAAATTTTATTTCTTCTGTGTTTGTAGATTTATTTATTTTTCCTTTTAGTTTTTCAGTTTTTGTTTTATATATTTGAAGCTGTGTTATTGGGTACATAAATATTCAGGGCTCTGATTTTTTTCCTGTGGAATAACCTCTTTCTCATTATTAAACATCTCTGAATCTCTAGTAATGCTTTTTCAAACTGCTTTATTTGAAATTAGTATAGCTACATCATTGGTCTATCTTTCCTTAACCTTTTTGTGACCTTGTAGGTAAAAATATATCTCATTTAAGCAGCTCGTTTTAAAAACTTCAGTCTGGTTGTTTCACCTGTACTAGTTCATTTATATTTAAGAGAATTACTGATATACTTGGTTTTATATTTACTATTTTATTTTCTATCTTATCCACTTGTTTTACTCTTTTTGTCTCTCTTCCCTCTTTTCAGTCAATCAGATATTTTAAATTCATTTTCTTTTTCTTCTGTGTGTATACTTACTTTTCTTTAGTAGTTAGCCTAGAGCAGAGATTGGCAAACTGTTGCTTATAGACCAAGTCCATCTGCCCTCCTGTTTTTGAATATAAAATTTTATTGAAACACAACCACACCCATTTGTTTACATATTGTGTGTATATAACTGCTTTGGTGCTATAATGTCATAATTGAGTAGTTGTATGGAAAGGCCATATATATATGGTTTACAAATCCTAAAATATTCGTCATGTGGTCCTTTATAGAGAAAGAATGCCATCCCCTCTCCTAGGGGAATGATTCTTAAACTAGATCATGCATCGGAATAACCAGGAGGGCTTGTTAATACGTAAATTACTGGGCTGCATCTCTAGAGTTTCTGATTCAGTAGGTTTGGGTTGGGACCCAATAATTTGCATTTTTAACAGATTGCCAGATGATGCTCATCTGCTGGTATAGGGACTACATTTCGAGGACCAGTGCTCTAGATATTACTATGCATCTTTGATTTATTATAATCTAAAATAAATTTCTGTATTTACTACTTCCTCAATAAGGCTCAAATCTTTAGAAATCTTTAACTTTGTTTGCTTACCTCTTAGTAGTACCGTATTATAATAACCTCAAACTGAAACAGCCCATATCTATCAGTAGTAGAATGGGTGTTAATCAATTGTGGTACTTGCATACACTAGAAAACTATAAGCAATGAAAATGAATCTTCCAAACATTATCTTCCAACACTGAGTAAAAAGAAGCTAGATAGCAGAATACATATTGTATTCCTTTTATATAGTGTTCAAAAATAAAACCAAATGTTAGAATTCAAGACTAGTTAGTTTTGGAAGGAAATGTAGACTTTTAGGAGTCTTGAGGGCACTTACAGGATGCTGGTAATAATCTGTGGATCTGGATACTGGTTATACTGGCATGGTCATTTTGTGAAAATTAATTAGCTGTATACTGATGATTTGTATACTTTGCTGTATTTTGATAAAAAGTTTAAAAATTAATTTCCCAGTAGTTTGAGAATGTTAATTTTTTTTTTTTTAATGGTAGGAACATATTTACTCTTTTCAATCCGTGTGTGTGTGTGTGTGTGTGTGTGTGTGTGTGTGTGTGTATGTACAGAATACTGTTTCCATGGGAACTTCTGGCTACACTGTGTTTCAGTGATTAACTTTCTGTAGACTTGTACGTCTACTCTGTCTTTCTTAGCTGCATTTTTTTAACATAATAGTAGCAAAAAGTTTATTTGGAATTATATTAGTGTATTTAACAGAGCAGTCTATGTATTGCATAGGTTTTAAGCTTATTAATTTATCCAAACTGATTCCCTAATAGTATTATGCTACAAAACAATTTTTTAAGAGAAGATAATTTTTTTCTGCAAGTTGTATTACTTAAAAACACTGTCTGAAATAGAATGTGGCTTTTTATTAGAGTGTTTGATTCTTTTTTCCTTTAATAAAAGTCTTAAAACTTTCTTGGCATATTTTATTTAAAATATAACTAATAGTTGTATTGATAGTATCTCTTTATAGGAATTATTTAATTCTAGGTGACTGGGTGTTTGTTTAGGTAAAGAAAGCCTGTTGAAAGGAAAAGATTCTGGCATATTGATCTGAAGCCTGTAGTAAAGCTGCTTCTGTGCCTCGTCCATCTATTTGCCATGGTTGATTTGTGCAGGGTCCTAGAGAAAACCATCTTCTCAGGAGAGTAAAATGCATATACTGTGTGTTGTGTGTGCATGTGCATGTGCATGTGTGTGTGTGTGTATGTGTATGCTGGGAGGTGTTTCATTTACATATAAGTAGATGATGCTAGTGTGGTCATTCATATTCCGAAAGGAGCCTTGTAGAATCATTTATGAAAACAAATTGTTTTGTTTGATTTCTATGGCTTAAATAAACAGCAGATTTTAAGATTACAGAGTAAATTATGCACAGTAATGAGCACTGTGGCAGTCTGTGCTTTACTGATGCAATAATAAGCACCCCAGCAGAATGAATGTTGCATACAACCGTATTTTCTATTTATATAAATTTTCACGTCAAATAAGAACACATATTTAGATTTCTAAACCTTTAGTCTTGAATGCCTTTGAAATTTTGATATAGAATAAGGATTATAGAATATTTTAGATGCATGGAGAATTTTTACCTTTCATCTGGCAGTAGCTGCCATAAGATGATGTCACCTTGTAGCTGATTGGCTGTTACAGCACCTAGGGCAGGGAAGAGAAAGAAAAATGCCGGCACAAACCTCAGTGGTGGTTCTGTGGTTGTTTCTGTCTTTTTTTGATAGAATCTTTGATTAGTATCGAATTTACTGTATTTGGCCATGTGAACTGTTGGGAGCCTCCTAGGGTGAGGGAAATTAAGAGCTTTCAGAGGAATGAGGCGACTGATTTGCAAACGCATCTGTGATTGTAAGTTGCAGAATCTGGGAATAAGGAATAAGGCAGGGCATGCTACAAGATGCACTATGGGAGGAGCTGGCAGAAAATGCTTATATGAGTAGCAAAAACATGAAAATTACTTTTACTACCTTTAGAGTTAATATGTTTTGTTTTATGTTTTGACTTAATAATGTGTAAGAAATATGAAAATACTGCATTTTGATTTTAAATTTCACAGGATTATTTTATATGGTGTTAGCCAATATATAAATGCTTATTCAAAGGTCCTTTATTTTGTATTACATACCTTACCAAAGTAATGATTTTATATATGACTTTATTTTATTTTTGAGCCTTAGGGAAAATGGAACAAAGCTTAGTTCTCTTAAATACATTTTTCTAATGCTTTGTGCAGATAAAAGCTTCGATGATGAAGAATCAGTGGATGGAAATAGGCCGTCATCAGCTGCTTCAGCCTTCAAGGTTCCTGCACCTAAAACATCCGGAAATCCTGTCAACAGTGCAAGGAAGCCCGGTTCAGCAGGTGGCCCTAAGGTTGGAGGTAATGTAAATCCATTTAAAATCTGTTATACATGCTCCATGCCCTTGATATGGCCACACATACTTAGAACTTCAGAGGAATATGTTTATTCATGACTGCAGCATGATTGCAGATCTGGAGTCTGTTGCAACACTCAGAAGTATATGATGCCCTTTTGAAATGTATAAAATATTGTTTCCTGCTATTTCCTGTAAGAGCATTTGTGAATTAGTGTCTTCTTGAGGGTATTTATTTTTCAGATGCCATTTTGGAAAAGATTTATGGAAGTTTTTTTTGTTTTTTGTTTTAAGCAGAGAACTGGTTTTTCAGAATTTGGTTACTAATTTTCAAGTGCAGTAGCTGTTACAGAAATGTTGAATCATGTAATATTTTTACACATTCCTCTAGGTAGTAAGTCTTGAATACTCGAGCATTTAAAAAATGGTTGAAGATACTGGGTATTGAATCATTTGTCACAATAGGAAATGGGTGGTGGTCAAGTAAAATTGCCTCAAAAATGGTTCCTGGATTAAATAATAATAAGTAAATAAGAAAAAGCAGGTTTCATGCAATTTTACAACACATAGCATATTCATTGATCAGATTAGAACTGTTTCTAGCATATTGTTTATTTTTAATATTTTTAATGGGTATTTTTTCATGTGTTAATTATAAAGCCATGAATGTATTTCCGGTGTTAGTTTCTGCTAGAACTTTCTGATAGAATGAATCTATAAAAACAAGGGTAAGTATTTAATTCTAAAAGGACAGTAATATCTTTCTCTTTTCCATCCTTTCCTTTTTAAAAATAAATTTGTGTCTTAGTTGTAATATTTTGGGAAAGCAGATCTTTCCTTGTTTACAATAACTGGTGAAAAAATCATGGGCTTGAGGATTTTTGTTTTTTCTTTTTGTCTATAATACTTTTTATTAAAAACCAAAAAGGAAAGAAAAATAAGCTGTGTATTTTGACCAGGTTTCATAAGGATTTGTGTTCCCTTGATCTTCCTATGTAAACCCCCATTTTTTCCCATCATATGAGAGTCTAAATATAGAAAAACTTTATCATAAGTATTTCATTTAAACTATTTTATGTGTCATATAATGAGCAATAAAGATGGTATGGTATATATATATATATATACACACATACACATATGTGTGTATAAATATATATATGTATATGTATATATATGCACATACACCTAAATGGCTGAAATTAAAATGTCTTACTTTTTTCTCCAGATGTTTCAAGTAATCTGTACTTTAGATTTTTAATTATTTTCTTTTTATTTTGTAATTTTATTGTTGTATTCTCATCCAAATATTAGTATGATACCCCATTAGAAGATAGTTTTTGTTGTATTCTTATTTACCGCTAGTAAAAAGTATGTGACATTTTTTGGTTTCTTCCTTTTATAACAAGTAGCTGTCCTCAGTCATTACACGGGGAATATTTTTCTTAATTTTGAATTATAGAATTCTAATGTATAAATAATTTTGTGAAACTTTTTTTAGCCTAAAAATGGATGATATTTGAGGTTTGTGGTGATAATAGTTAACATTTTTATGAATTTAACCAGCGGCTTATAATTTTTTTTCATGGTTTGCTATCTTTTTAGAAGAAAATTGAAATTTACTATCATGAGTTATTTAATTCTGATATTAATCATATTGATATAATCAGATGTAAAAAGGAGAAACTTTTTTAAGCTCTCCCAACCCCAATCTTGTAGTTTTTAGTCCTAGCAGTTAAATGAAAAAGTTAAGTAGCTTTCATGATTGCAGTAATTAATCATTTAAAGATTTTATCAGCCATCTCGGTAGCAGCCTTTCTGCCAAAAATAAGGGAAAAGCTTTCATTCCTTTCTCCCTTTTCTGTTCCTCTTCCTCCTCCCTTTTCTTCTTCCTATTCTTTTTTTTTTTTTTTTTGGCAATTGCAGGTATATTCTTGTTTCTTTTGTTGATCACAGCTCATTTAGGTTCATTGCCCATTTTTCTGTCTAAGAATAAAGCTACCAGCCAGAGGATATTGATATTACTTCTGAAATAAATGCCATTTTTGGCTGTCAGTCCTTCTTTGAAAATTTAACTGTAGATTATCTGGTCTTGGCAGTGAATTGTTGATTTTTAAATTCGTTGTAGAAAGTTTTCTTAGAGTTGTAGAATTTTTGAGTTGGAAAAGACCTTGGGAGTTACATAGTTCTTTCATAAAATTCCTGATAGATGATTATTCAACATGATTAAAGAAGTACTGTCCGCTCTGAATTAAAATTTAGAACAAAAATCACCTGCATTGCCACTACACACAGACATAATTGCCAAATCATGATGTGCTTTCTTCCAATTTCTTTTCCAATTATTTTTACATAAATATTTTCTCAGGAGAAGAACAAAATTGGCACTATTCATTATGTAGTTTTTTTCTAACTAATATTTTACCTTAAACATTTTCTCATTGTCTTAAATTATTAATTGAAAATTATTTGTGGCTAAATAATACCTAGGTTGCCATAAGCCTTTTCTGCTTCTTTAAACCATGTCAGCATTCTTTTATGTATCTTTCATCATGTCTTCAATGATTTCTTTGGAATAAATTTCTAAAGTTCACTGGATCGAAAGATGCAAGGATTTTTAGAGTTCTCTCAGTTTGGCAAAGTATTTTTCAGAAACAAGCCCATTTCAATTCTGAATAAACAAATTCTTTTATATGTTGCATTAAAATATACTTCCTTATAACATATACAGGGAAAATGAATTTGTTAACATGCTTTCAAATACTTGAAGATTGTTCTATTTCTCTTTGTGACTGTTCTGTTTTCTAAACCATATATTATCTTTCCCATGATTTTATATTGAATGGTAGTGATTCAGTCTCAATGTATTATTTGCTACTCCAAGGTATATAATAAATAGATGTGATTAGTTTAAAATTAAAAGAATATAGTAGGTGGAAATGTATAGTAGTGGTGTAAGCCAGACACAGCTCACTGGGTTTAACAAATCTCTTTTCAAGTAGGATTATTATTAAAGTAAAAAAAATACGGTGAGCTTCTTTGGAATCGTGACTTAATCTGCTTTTGTAGTTTTGGAATATATTTTACTTCTTCCAGAGATACCTATCAAGATTAGGAATGTATGCTATTTTTAGCAAAGTATCCTATCCAGTTACTTAAAGCTCCTAAGTCTTGTGTTTAATCTTCCATGTATGTTAATTTGCTTTGTTCTTTGGCCTTAATATGCCAACCTTTTCTTCTTATATTGTATTAATAATTATGTAGCCTTTAAGTTAAAGAAACTTGGAAAAAAAAGGCTGTCGCTAGGTTCATACCAAACCCATATTATCTAAGTGTTAAAAGGGTTACCTTTGTGCCTTACTAATTAGAATAGGGATAAAGTAAATTCTCAAATAGTCTATTTTCTGAATAACATTTGTAACTTCATTGTAGGAATTTAGATAAACACATTTTTCTTTCTTTTGGCTCAATGGTTAATAGAATTGCTGGAAGCACCTGATTATTTAAAATACTTAAATCTTTACAGTATTTTAGATAACAATTTTTTAAATATAATTCTTTAATGTTCTTATATATATTCTTTCATTCAAATCTCAAAAATGAAAGATTCTGAGATTTAAATGAAAGAATATATGTAAGAACATCCCTGAGCCAACTGATTTTACTGATGAGCAAACTGCAGTTTAGAGAAGTAACTTGCCCAGGGTCATTTATCTAATAAGAGGGCAAAGCACAAAAGTCACTTCACTATACTGCCATCACACTAATTTCTATTGGTAAATAAGGTTTCTTTTAGATTCTATAGCACGGAGATTGTAATCTGCAGAAATGATCACTACTTTTTGGCACCCATAAACCAGTCATTTTAAAGCTCAACTAGTATGATTCCCAGCAAAATAGAGCATTTGGAATAAGCAGACCTTTAAATTTTACATTGTAAACAGAAATGCTTTTCAGTATTTTATTGTTGAAATTACCTTCTTCAAGTTTATTTTCTGGGTTATATTATCCCTATTCCTGTATCAATCATTTTGGCTGCTACTCTTTTTAAAAATAACAGTTGAATTAGATGATGATGTAATTGTCATTTAAAAAATACTAGTACCAGATTTTGAGGTTAGTGATTTGTCATTGAAGCTTGAGACACATTATTGACCAAATCTTCAATTCTTAAAGTTCTCTAGTAGTCACTCATTCACTCGCTCTAGTGGACAGCATATTTTTTCTCTATTGTTTCTCTCTAATGTCAAAGACTACTTTGAAATGGTTTTAACTTTCAGTTCTTATAATTAGGTAATTACTGCCATTTTGCATTTAGTAGTACTTACTGATCTTTAGGTTATTTTCTATTTGTTTTACCTCACTTTATGTCTGACCTAAGATTTTAAGAATATCCAAGTATGTTTTCTACAAATGATGCTAGTCATTCCCATTTTTCCCATCATGCAGACAACAAAATTGTTTTTCTTTTGAACAAATAAAGATCACAAGAATAGTATATACATAATAAAACAAATCTTAAGAATTTGTTTTTTAATTCTGGAATCTAAATTTTTTACTTGTAGACATCATTATTTTATTTTTTGAGCTTTATGTAAAACCATATAACAATTCCATGTTTTGTTTTTGTTTTCTTCCTCTCTTCTTCCCTTGCTGAAGAAGATATTAAAACTCAGAAGATTTTCACCCTAAAGGGGTCTTAAAGATGAACTGACCCAGATTCAGAAAAAGAGTTTGAGCCTCAGAGCATTGAATGATGAGCAAGATCAGATGGTTAGTAGGGATGGGATGAGAACCCAGTGCTTGACCCACTGTCAGGGGCTTCCTCTTGAATCATCTCTGAGTAATCTCCTAAGTAATACTGCATATGGTACATATTTATTATTTTTAATCCTACATAGCAGATCACTATTATTGAAATCTGGAATTTAGGGATCGGACAATCGCCAATCTGTCTGAAATTACTGTGAATCCCAGATCATTGACTGCCCATCCCTGATGCTT